TATTTATATATAAAGTAGTTTGTCCTGGCTGACTGATTGGTGAGCAACGAACATTTGGGCTCAAGGATCTTATCAAAAAAACGAAACGGAAAACGAGCTCCAAAGTTAGTTTGAAAATTCTGCATTTCTGCACCGATCAACTTTAAATCTGATTTTTATAATCTATAAAAGAATACAAACAAAACTGCATACTCGGATTTTGTGGAAATTTGTGGTGGAGCTTGAATTATGTTTATTCACCTTTTCAAATGAAAAGTTTGTGTTATAAATTTTTTTATGATCGATTTTAAATTAGGGGACTGTAATCTACGTAACTAAATCTACAACTTTGCGTTCAAGGATTTTCAAAATATTTTACAAATGCAGGCAGAACAAACAATACAAAATACCAAGTACACAGTTGGGGACAACTATGTATACATACACGCACACACACACACATACAAGCAGCTGTTCGTGTAATTGCGTGCAAACGATTGAAATAGCCAAAGCAAAATGTAAGACACTAATGTGTGAATGTACACACATACATATGTACGCATCTATGTACATGTATATACTTTAGAGAGTATTACGACTACGCTATTCCTTTGGGCAACGCCGGCTGGCTCATCGGAACTTCTCCTTGGGTGTGTAGTTCCAACCCTATGCCCGCGTGAGTCGCACAATAAACGATAACACGGTTCCTCCATCGATTGCAAACAATCTACACAACAGCCATCACTACAATAAATTCGACGCGCAATATACAAAACCGAATTCAAACGTAAACAAACCAAAAATAATAACTAACATAAAAGAAAAGAAACGTAATGCAACGAAAAGACAAGTAAAAAAGCTAAAGTCGGGTGTCCCGGCTTTGAAATACTCTGTACATATGTTTACAATAATTAAAGAAAATAAAAAAAATTAAAAAAAAAAACAATTTTGATCGATTTTACCTTCTCGGTATTCGAACTCACGTAAAGGGTTTATAAATGCACATTTGCATAGCAATTGCGTCTGTGTGAGTGTATGTATGCTTATGCGCAACTATTCGTGTCTGTGTAAGCATGTTCGCAGTCAACCAAAGCACCAGCATCAGGGTTCGTAAAATGTGCTCGCAACCCGTTCGGCCCGCGAGAAATTCTGCTGCGGGTTTTTTCGGGTCGCTGCCGACAGAGGCGGCGGGTCCGATCGGGTCGTCTGGCAGAGGTAACGGGTCGTGCGGATACGCCGTGCTTCGCCGCGGGTCGCTGCCGACAGCAGCAGTGTCGTACGAGCCGGTCTGTAGTAGCAGAGCGCTCGTTCGTGGTAGGCAGGCATATGTACGTGTATGTATGTGTGAAATTTGTATGATGGTATGCTTGTGTGTATATATTTTTTTAAGGCGAAATGTACGCGATCTCTTTCACTCTGTACCTGCTGCCTACTCCGTTTCAGCTTGACCGAGCTGTTTCGCCTACGTTTGCACAGTGGTACCTGATACTATTTTTAAGGATCCGTGGCGTTGCAACTTGGCGTAATTTAAAGGGACTTTTTTACCTATATACTCCTATACCAATAAAATCTACAGTCAATTCGTATACTTCATTCACATAAGTAAAAAATATTTTAGTAACTAGTTTATTTATTTGCAAATGATCTTTTTATTTCCTATAGCCAAAAAAATCGAGACATTCATTCAGAAATCTAGTATCAGGCACCACTATGCAAACGCAGACAAATCTGCTGAGTGAGGCTATAAGGGATGAAATGCATCGCGCACATTTTGCCTTGAAATATATACACACAAGCATACCATCATACAAATTTCACACATACATATGTACGACCCGATCGTACCCGCGGCCTCTGTCGGCAGCGACCCGAATATACCCGCGGCAGAATTTCTCGCCGGCCCGAACGGGTTTTGCCCGCATTTTACGAACCCTGCTTAAAACACCAGAATTCACACACAGCATCCAAAACTACCGCACAATAGAGATGCGCCATTGGCCCAAATAGAACATTACATTTTTCGAACATCACAAATTGTTGAGTTAAGTTTAAAGTTGTGAGTCACACGAAAGTTAAAAATAAAATATACCATTGACGCAATTATTGTTTCAAATAAGTACCACATAACTGTGTATTAATTAAACAAACTTGGCGAAAATTGTCTGTCGCCGATTGGGCAGTTTGTTTGTGTTAGTGAAAATCTGAAGGGTCATAAACTGCCATTTGAATATAATATACAATGCGGACCAGGGAAACATATTTTTGTAATTTTTTGAATTCAATTTCAAATGCTAATTTTTGCAAAACATAGATCGCCACTACAGGACGCAATTTTCGTAAAATATATGGAAGCACACCCCGTAGCTGCGCAAAATTCCAAATGATGTTATTAAAAATGCAAAATATATTTAATTTTTCATAAGCAACATTCTTTTGTGGGATCAGATGCGCTTCTTAAACATTCGTGTTGTATTTTTATACTCTCTACATGAAATCTACAGAAGTATATTAGGTTTGCGGGAGCTGAAAAATGTAACAGGCAGAAGGAGGCGTGGCAGACCCCACAAAGTATATATATTCTTGATCAGCATGACAAGACGAGTCGATCTAGCCCTCTCTATCTGTCTGTCAGTCTGTCCGTCCGTCCGTTTTCCTGATTTTCCATTCGTATAATCGCCTATATCTCGGAGACTATAAGACCTAGGAACACCAAATTTTAGTCCCAGATGCCTTGTGTGAATACGAAGAAAATTTATATTTTGGAATTTACCTCCCTCCCCCCCTCTCCACTGCAAATTGCGATTTATTTTTTTATTCTGATACACCCCCCACCCCCGCAATTCGTGTTTATTTTTATAACTCCCGTAATTCTTGGAATTTTGAAATCAGTTGTAGCAGTTACGTCCAGTTAGTGCTTATGTGTCCGTATGCCAAGTTTCATCATGATAGGTCAATTCTGAAGAAAGTTATAGCGATAAATAAAATCGCTGCCCATGCCCTGCTTACAGCTCTGCCCACAGCTGTTATTGTTGTTGCTTATATATACACGTATATAAACAAGCATAGACAAGTGATGTAAATGTAAATCTGTACATAAAGATGGCTTCTATGTATGTATTAAATAAATTTTCGTAATTAATTTAATAAATTAATTAATTTTTATAGCCTGTACCTAAAGGGTGAAAGGCTATACTAGTTTTGTGCGTATGTATGTAACACACAGAAGGAGGCGTGGCAGACCCCACAAAGTATATATATTCTTGATCAGGATGAGAAGCCGAGTGGATATAGCCTTGTCCGTCTGTCCGTATGAACGCAAGGATCTCAGAAAGTATAAGAGCTAGAATAACCAAACTTGGTTTCCATATTCTCCTAAGACCGAGAAAGTGCGAGTTTGAGTTTTTTTTCGATGCACCCCCCCACTCCCCCGCAATTCGTGTTTTTTCTTATAACTTCCGTAATTCTCGGAATTTTGAAATCAATTTTGGTAGGTACATCCAGTTAGTACTAATGTGTCCGTGTGCCAAATTTCATCATGATAGGTCAGTTCTGATGAAAGTTATAGCCATAAGTAAAATCGCTGCTCATGCGCTGCCTGCAGCTCTGTCGGCAGCGCTGCCCGCAGCTGTTGTTGTTGTTGCAGCTTTGGTTCACCTTTGTGCTGCATTCATACACGCATATAAACACGCATAGGTACGTGATGTAAATGTATGCTGTTTAAACTGAACATAAACATGTATTCTAATTTAATTTAATTAATTAATTCATTCATTCATTTTTTTAATAATTTAATGTTTTTTTTAAATTTTTCTTTTTTGTGGAGAGTACAGGCTATTTTACTGTCGGGCTTGCTAGACTGTAGCGTTCTATCTTGTTTTTAATTCTCTTACTTTTTTTAATTTCTATAATTATTGTAAACATAGAGTAACCTATAGAGTATTTCAAAGTCGGGACACCCGACTTTAACTTTTTTATTTGTTTTAATCAAAACTCCTGGAAAAACTAACAAGATAAGAAACACCGAGAATTGGTTGTGAGGCAAAACTTGGGCGGAAGAGATCAGTGGCACCCCTGATTAATTACATTAAATACAAATTATTCAATATATACTTATATATAAAAGTGGAGACATATTCATGTACAGTTTCAACAGCATACATTTACATCAGAATCGTGTTTATGTGCATATGTGTATGCATCACAAAGTTGAAGTAAAGCGACAAAAACAAAAACAGCTGAGGGCAGAGCTTCGGCAGAGATTATGTTTGCGGCTATAACTCGCTTAAGAATTGATCTATCATGAAGAAACTTGGCATACGGACTCATAATCACTAACTGCAGGTAAGTGGGGGGTATATCAGAATAAAACAAAAGAGAACGCTACAGTCGAGCAAGCTCGACAGTAATAGCCTGTACTATCCACAAAAAAGGAAAATTAAAAAAAAAAATTTTTAATTTTATTAAATTATTGAAAAAAAATGGAATTAATTATTTAAATTATGTAATAAAGAAAATTTATTTAATACATACATGGAAGACATGCGTGTTTGTATGCAGCACAAAGTTGAACCAAAGCAGCAACAACAACAACAGCTGCGGGTAGAGACCCAGGCAGCGCATGGGCAGCGATTTTATTTATGGCTATAACTTTCCTTCAGAATTGACCTATCATGATGAAACTTGGCATACGGACACATAATCACCTAGATGTACCTACCAAAATTGGTTTCAAAATTCCAAGAATTACGGAAGTTATGGAAATAAATTTCCTTTGGGTACAGGGTATAAAAAATGCACAAAATTTTTGGAAAGTATAATATTTATATTTTCTTAAAGCTGTATTTTATATTTCATAGTTATCGTTTGATCTTAAAATGAATTCCGCTTTGTTACTTTCCCACTGTTTCAAAACATTTGCTCCCTATCGTTGCTATGATGACGCATTTGAATATCCGAACCCTTTCGATGTGTGGTAAAAAACATCGACTATGTTGGTTAAGATGGCAATTGCACCACTAATGACAATCACTTTTAATAAATACGATAAACACAGTATGCTGCCTTATAAGCACCAAAGGTTGATTTAGACTTGATAAACACCAAGTGAAACTGTACATTCCGTCTATACACAGGAAGAAACAAATACACACATATAATTTATACTACATAAACTTAAGTATTGAAGTTACTGAGTGCATTCCGTACGAGGTCAATATTTCTTGTACATATTAAGTAAGTAATTTGTTCTTAATCTAATCTCCTCACACAAGCCATCGCGCGTTAGCGTTAGGAATCAGATCTCCGTTTTCACACAGACGCACATACACCCACTGAACATTGTGTATTAAAAATTCATGTCCATGCCTTTTTGTTGTTGCAGCGGTTGGCGTCATCGTTGGAACGAAAGTAGCACGCGCAGTTGTTGTGTTTCTCATAGGCCCGCCCATTTAATATCAAAATGCTGTCCCGCCTTCAGGACTTTTTCACACGCCACCGTCGCAAGTTTATCGTCACGGGCGTGGTAGTTGGTGGAACTATTGCGGCAGCACGCTATGCGAGGCGAAAGCTTTTGGAGTTTCAGGAGCGACAGGCGCGGGAATTCTTTGAACGCACCCGACGAATGCAACACTTCGAATCTACAGAGCGCACATGTAACCAAGTAATACTTGGAATGGGGGAGGAGATGTGCCAGGCCATACTTCGCGAGTGCAGCACGGACGATCTATTGGAGCAACTGCGTCAAAATCCTAGCAATAAGGTGGAGCTGTGGGAGCAAATGAAAATTGTATCATTCACACGACTGACAACTTTCGTTTATGCTTCGTCTATGCTGGTTATTGCATTACGGGTCCAGCTCAACCTTCTGGGCGGATACATTTATCGAGATATCATGTCGGAACAGCAAAAGATTAATGACGACCTTAAGCAACAGTACCTGTCCCTCATACGGCATTTTATTGCAGATGTCGGTATACGTGAGTTGGTACGGTACATACGCAGTAAAGTAGTCGAGGTGCTCAGCTCCATGTCACTGACTCGGCAGCTTACTTTATCGGATACTGAACAAATATTTTGGTCATTGCAAATGGCCATTAACGGAGACACTCGTCACGATCCCAACTCAAGGATGAGTAAATATTTGCTTCCTGCATTAAGCAGACTGAATCAGCAACCATCACCGACACTACAAAAAATGTACAACGAAACGCTAGACCTTCTTGAGTGCGAGGATGTGATCTCGGTTTGTGTGCACAATGTGAGTAGAGGCTTTGTGCTAGCATGCGATGCTATCGCTGAGGCAATGGGCGATACCCTGCAGCATCTAGCACCTGGCGAGGTGCAGCAACAGCAGCCTTTCAAGTCGATTAACAACAACGGAAACAACAATAACCTTTTAAACATAAACAACGTGCTTTTGGCACTTGCGAAACTTATACCGATCATAAGTGGTCTCACATCACGTGGCTATGATAGCGGAGCGCGGCCACACAATTTACCAACACAGCTGCTAACGTTTTATGTGGTGGCTGAGAAGTCTAAAACTTTGGGTGCCAATGTCTACGAAACATTCAGCTCGGGTTAAGCTTAGTAAAAAATTAGCATAGTATTAAGCTACATATTTGATACAAAATAGCAAGTACGAACGATATACATATGTATGAATGTTTATTTTCTTAAGCAAACAAAACGTGCTTTAATTTGGAGAGGAATGAATTTAGAATTAAATTGAGTTGTATCCGCTTTTTTTTTTATTAATGTAGTAGTCCCTTTTAAAGGTCCGTTTGAAGAACAAATTATCAGGAAAAATAAACAAACTTGATCTGCTTGGGGCTCAGGAGAACCTGAATACCAAGTTAGGTTATTCTAGCTCTTGTACTTGCTGAGATCCTTGTGTTCGTACAGACAGGCGGGCATGGTTATCTACTCGTATACAATGTATACACTTTGTGGGGTCCTTCTGTGTGTTACCCACATTCGCAAAAAACTAGAATACCCCTTTGGGTACAGGGTATAAAAAAGTTCTAGGTACAAGATGCATCATGTGTATTTGCAGAAAATGTGCATATTGGAAATTCCCTTCCTCCCGCCTCACCGCCGCAATTCGTGATTTTCTATAACTCCTGTAATTTATAGAATTTCGAACTCAAATTTGGCAAGTCCGTCACTAACTGATTATGTGTCTGTATGCTAAGTTTCATTATGATAGGGAGATTTAACAAGAAGTTATAGCCATAAATGTGATGTTATTCACCCTTTACGTGACTTCGAATACTAAGGAGGTAATATCCCTGAAATTTTTATAAAAAGTATATATTTGGCAAAGTATGTAACATGAACAAGGAAGCATCTCCGACCCCATAAAGTATATACATCAGCATGGCGAGCCGATTCGTTCTATACATGTCCATCCGTCTGTCTGGATGAACGGAAACATCTTAAAAACTAGAAAATCTGGAGTAACCAAAGTTTGTAGCCAGATTCTCCTAGGACTGAGAAAGGGCGAGCTTATTTTATTTTTCTGAATTTCCACCCTCTTCCCCTTCCATAATTTCGTCAATACTTTTCACATTTCGAAAGATATATTAACCAAACTCATAGTTCATACACAACTTTCTACTTTTGTCTAAAAATTCATTGAAGTCGGTAAATTCTAAGAAAAGTTATTAGGGAAACAATTTCACTCCGGTACTAAGCTCACAAGCTGCAGCATTATGTTCGCTCTTCTTCATTTTGATTCTGCTATGGGCGTGTTGTGCTGGAAGTTTGAGTTAAGGGTATTTCACTGTCGGGCTTGCTCGACTTTAGCTCTCTCATGTTTTTTCAAGTGTTCTTAATTTATATGTATATTACTAGCAGGTATTGCCCGTCGTAACCCGGCTCAATATGTTTCCAATTGTATTTATTTTGTGTGTGCATAACCTACCCATATGTTTTCACCTTAAAGGTTACCAGTAGGAAGGCATTTAAGGTATTTAAATGAACATTTTCTGTTCTTGACAAAAAATTGTTCAGTAGTCCGTTACATTTTTGTTCTTGACAAACTATTTCGTTAAACGAACATGACCACTATAACTAATATTTTTTAAAGCTCGTTTTCCCCCCGTTGGAGCTAGAATTTTCCAAAAGCCTTTCTTAGTGTGCTCCTACACTATGATGGATACTATGAAACGATACTTGAGTCCAAATTTAAATTCACATTTGAGTCTTTTCGTGCCATATTGAGTCAATACGGCCACGCACAAACTCGGAATATGAAACACGGCACTCGTGTCAATGCCGTGCAGCGATGAGCCACGATCAAAAAGCACTGGCACCGATACCATCAAAATATCGAAGTTTGAATGCAATAAGCAGAATATTTAAATAACAAAATCTAATTATTTATTGACATCAATAAGAACAAATCATATACATACATACATCTGCCCGCAATGCGAAGCAGAATATGCGTAGCTCCGTTATTCGGTTTCTGCTTTACTATCGCTTACGCAGTCGTTGCCTAGCGACGGTAACTGTAACATTTTGGCGTTTTGCCTTTGCAATTAACATTAAATGGTCAAAACGAAAGAAGAAGAGCGAGCTAATGACTTGCAGTTGTTGTTGTTTTTAGAACATTATTTTTTTTTACAATCAAACAACTGTGTTCGATTGCCCAATGTATACATTAATACGAATGTACATACATGCTGTATTCATACACGGGCATACATACATACATATGTACATATGTTTCTCTTTACTTTTTCAACCGTACGTAGAGAACCGCACACATAGACACGAACTGTTGCTTGTTGTGTGTGAGTGTGTGTATGTGATGTCCCCAACTATTTGATATTTGTTGTTGCTGCATAAAGTTATTAATGAAAACACTAATGCCAAATGCACTAAACAAAGAAAAAATTACTTTTTAAAATGTTATATTATATAATTTTCAATTAATTAACATCTCTTGCTCTGTCAGTGCAAGACGAATGTACATACATACATATGTAGATACATACATATGTACATACATAGATGTGCACATATGTATGGACATTCACACATTAGTGTCTCACATGTTGCTTTGGCTATTTCAATCGTTTGCACGCAACTACACGAACAGCTGTTTGTATGTGTGTATATGTATACTTAGTTGTCCCCAACTGTTTGATATTTTGTATTGTTTGTTCTGCCTGCTTTTGTAAAATGCATATTTTGAAAATCCTTGAATGCAAAGTTGTAGATTTAGTTACGTAGATTACATTATCCAAATTTTAAATCGATCGGACTAAATTTATAACAAAAACTTTTCATTTGAAATAGTGAATAAATATTAAAACCCCAATAATTCAAGCTCCAACACAAATTTCGAAAATCCGAGTATGCAGTTTTGTTTGTATCCTTTAATTGATTTTAGAAACTAAGTTTTAAGTCGATCGGTTGAAAAATGCGGATCTTTCAAACAAACTTTGGAGCTCGTTTCCCCCCTTTGGAGCTCGAATTTTCCAAAAATCCCTTCTTAGTGCGCATCTACACCATGATAGGATACTTGAGCCCAAATTTCAGCATCCTAGCTTTTACCGTTTGGGCTGTGGGCTGTTGACGCGGTTTCTTTTGTGCCCCAAGAAAACCCCAATAATTCAAGCTCCAACAAAAAATTATAAAAACCGAGTATGCAGTTTTCTTTGCATTCTTTAATTGATTTTAGAAACTAAGTTTTAAGTCGATCGGTTGAAAAATGCGGATCTTTCAAACAAACTTTGGAGCTCGTTTCCCCCCTTTGGAGCTCGAATTTTCCAAAATCCCTTCTTAGTGCTCATCTACACCATGATAGGATACTTGAGCCCAAATTTCAGCATCCTAGCTTTTACCGTGTAGGCTGTGGGCTGTTGACGCGGTTTGCTTTTGTGCCCCAACATTTTTTTTACATGAAAACTCCCATATTTTAGGCCCCAAAAAAAATATCAAAAAACCAAGTATACAGTTTTTCTTGGAATTGGAATTGGAGTATACAAACTAAGTTTAAAGTTAATCAGATGAAAACTGTAGATTTTTCATACAAACGTTGGAGCCTGTTTTCCCCCTTTGGAGCTCGAGTTTTCCAAAATCCCTTCTTAGTGGGGACCTAGACTATGAAAGGATACTTGAGTCCAAATTTCAGCTTCCTAGCCTTTACCGTTTGGGCTGTGCGTTGATCACCAATCAGTCAGTCAGGACAAACTGTTTTATATATATAGAGATTAGCAGGTATTGTCCGTCTTAAACCGACTCAATATAATGTGCATGACCCACCCATATATTTTCACATTATTAGTTACCAGTAGGAAGGTATTTAAGGTATTTAAATGAACATTTTATGTTCTTGACAAAAAGTTGTTTAGTAGTCTGTTACATTTTTGTTCTTGCCAAAATATTTCGTTAAACGTACACACACATGACCTCTATAACTAATATTTTTTTAAGCTCGTTTTCCCCCCCTTTGGAGCTCGCATTTTCCAAAACCCTTTCTTAGCGCGCACCTACACTATGATTGATTGAGAAAGGATACTTGAGTCCAAATTTCAGCTTCCTAGCTTTTACCGTTTGGGCTGTGCGTTGATCACCAATCAGTCAGGACAAACTGTTTGATATATATATAGAGAAACCGCAACGTTTTAAGATAGACTATGGTCAAAAAAGGGGAATAATTATAAGAGTATATCCTAATTTTAAATTCACATTCTAAGCAACGTTCGTAGACGTCTGATGTATTCTTTTATCGCTCCGCCGTGTAACAAAATTAAAGTGCAATTAACGCCAATTTAATTCGCGAAAAGACGCTTAGGATATGCATAAGCACCTGTGCTCGTGTTACCCATATACATTTGTTTGTGAAAATGCTGAATCTTGTTTAAAAAAAATAAAGCAATGCTAAAGGGTAAGAGCACAAGCTCGGTAAACAACACAGCAAAAATGAGCAAAACTCGTGCTCAGCAGCAACAACAATAAGACGAACGCCGACTTTCGGCAGTTCGTAACAACAACGCGTACTTCACAATACGCTCACCCGAGGTAACGGTACCAGAAACAACTGCATCACTGCAAGCTGACTCGGAGAGAGAACGCTCTATCTCGCCCGCGATAATATGCTCAGTCAGCACATTGCAAGGTGAGTCATGGAGTGCCCGTCGCCAGACTCCTCCAGCCTTACCAACGAGCTACTGATAACAACAACGACCAGTACAATGCCCTCTTTTACAACTGTGTCTTCGACTTCAAAAACGAACACTACAACAACAACCACGGCAGTTTCTCAGCGCCCGGTATTGTCAACTCAGTGTGACCAGCTCCCCTTCTCTCAACCGAAAAGTACGCAGAGCGTTAATACAGACCGGGCTCGATCGCCTCTAAACAAACCGCTGTAGGAATAATGAATCGTCAGACACCGCCACAGGGGCCAGAAACTACTGCCCAACACACCACTGCAAATCCAAGCCCAATTGCCTAGTGGAATTGAATCAATTCTGGCAACTCTAACAAATACAATGGTAGCAATACAACAAACGATACAGGAAATTATGCTCAATCAAAATCTCCTCCTGGAATTACTAATCAAACAGAAATCTACTTAAATAACTTCACTAAAAATATGTTTTTGGAATGCGAATGGCATTCCACGGCACAAATGCGAGCTGTTGCAGTTCCTCAATCCGCATGACATTGACGCGATGCTTATATCAGAGACTCACCTAACAAACTAAAATTATT